TTTGGCTTTACCCATTAATAAGAAATTTTGCTTTCAATGTGCGGGAGTGCTGATCTCATCTCTTATTAGGTCTATGGAGGTGAATAAATAAAGGGAAGATGGTGAATTGAAATTTTTGATAAAATTAAAACTTTATCAAAGTTGTAGTTCGTGATGTGCGTATTATCTCTATAGTGAATGGATATATTGATTTTTTTGAAAAATTGTTCGGTTTATCACTAGCAAGAAAAATGGAGTTTACAATAAATATCCAGCCTAGAACTTTAGTAATTCTTAAAGCATCTTATAGAATGGCTATTCAAGAGTTATAAGAGATAAAACATCTGTCATCAAAATTGTTTGAGATGTGTTTTATTATATCGAGGACATCTCCTTGGAGTGCCCCTATTTTTTTTTTTTTTGGAGTGCCCCTATTTTATTTGTTAAGAAGGATAATGTTACAACGAGTTTAATTAGATAAATACTAGAAATGAATATCCTCTTTCAAGGATTGATAATTTATTTGATTGTTTTAATGGAGATTCATAACACTACCGTTGCAAGGTCCTAAGTTCTAGATTAGAAAAGTGGAGGGTTGCATTAGGTTGTCGACAATCAGCATAAAACATATCGAATAATCATGACATGAATCCTTTAATGTATTATATTAATGCTTGGGCGTTCCCTAGAAGCAACGTGCTGTGTGGCATGAATATAGTGAGAAGTGTGTAAGGGGTCATTGTAACGGTGCTCATGTAGTATTAAATAGGCCAAGGGTTCCCACATTATAGATAGATGTGGGTAAAGAAGCTAATGGGAGGTGGGAATGGGCCAGTGGGGGAAAGTTTGTTCGGCGGCTGTGGGGAAGGGAGGGGAAAGGGTGGCCGTCGGGTGAGGGAAATTGGGGAGGCCGGCGGTGAAGCAAGAGGAGGAGGAGGACCATGAGCCTCGGACACGACTGGCGACTAGTGGGTATTGCTTTGCCCATAACTTGAGACTTAACCACTCAATAACTCACAAGCTGTAGAGAGAAAACAGAAATTTTATTTCATTCATCAATAATCCTCATACAAAGGTTAAGACCTTATATATAGGCCTTTCAAACAACTAGAAAGAAAAAGACAGGAATGCCCTCAGGGCTACAACTCACAACACATAATAAAGAAGGGTACAAACGGTAAAACTCAAATAAAATAACTAATACATAACATATATCAAAAATAAAGACTCCTAATCGTAGCTGTCGATCTACGATGCTTCCGGCAATAAACATTCTGGAATCTCTTGCCGATAAATTATTTGTATTCGATAAGATGTGAAGTCTTCATAGATTATAAGAGTTTTAAGTACATTTTTATGCTAAAAGAGTTGAATTTGAAGCATAGAATATGGTAAAGATCATGAACTTGACATATAATATTATCTTGGAAGGTTAATATAGTAATTGATGAATTGAGTAGAAAATCTGGTGGATATGTAAGCTGAATATTTACTCAAGAAATAGAGATGATTATAGAATAATGATTATGAATTGAGTAGAAAATCTGGTGGATAAGGAGGCCTTCAGTTGGAGATCTGATTATAGAATAATCAAGACATAAACTTGTACATCGTATGATTTTACATTCTACTCAAAATAAAAGAATTAGAGATATGCAGAAGCCTAGTGGTAAATATCAGAAGCTAATGGAGCTGGTACATGAATGTAACAGAAAATATCTCAACATAGATAAAAATGGAGTGATCGTACGGAATTTGCATCTTTGGATTCCAAGGGAACTAAATTTATTTCAGGAGATTCTAGTTGAGGCTCATCATTCATGTTATTTGATTTATTTAGGAAGTACCAAAATATATAATAATATAAAAGCATTATTTTTGTGGCCTCGGATAAAGAAAGATATAGTTGAGTATATAGTCTGAATCTTGTCAAATACTGAAAGCTAAACGCCAAAAGTCTAGTGAAATATTAGTCATTATCAATGCTGGAGTGAAAATGAGAAGATATAGTTATGAATTTTGTTACAAGATTTCCCAGGTGAAGATTAGAATATGATTGCATTTGGTTTTTAATTAATAAATTGATAAAATTAGTGCTCTTTTTGCTTATTCATCAGACTATATCGGTGAAGAAATCAACAAATATATTTGTGAAAGAAGGTACCAGACATCATAAAATTCCTAAGGTAATTATATCAACCAAAGACAATAAATTCACTTCCAAATTATTGAAGGGCGTTCATGGTAGTTTGGGCATAAATTAAATTCTCTACAGCCTTCCATTCACAGATTGATGGCTAATAAAAAATTTTAGGTGTTAGAAAATCTATTAAGGCTATGTTTTTTGGATTTGGAGGTAGCTGAGAGGGTTACATTCTATTAATAGAGTTTGTATAAAATAATAACGGTCAATCCAATATTAAGATGGTATCATATGAGATACTAAGAGAGAAAATGCAAAACTCTATTGAGTTCAGTTGAAATTCATAAAAACTAATTGTAGGGTCTGCAATTTGTTGATCAAGTCACTAAGAAAATTAGATTAAATAGAGATATATTATAAGTTGTCCAGAATCTTCACTAGAAATATTATGATTGAAAGCTTATAATGATTGAATTTGAAGTTAATGAATTTGTGTTTCTAGAGGTCAAACCCTCTGAATGGTAAATCTTAATTTGACTGAGAGAAGTTTAGTCCATGATACATAGAGTCATTTGAAATAATTCAAAGAACTGATAAAGTTGCATTCAAAATAACATTGTCAGTAGACATGTCAAATATACACGATGTCTTGCATATATCGATACTCAGAAATAGGTCACAAATGAAACTTAATGGGTAGAAAAGGGGAGGAGTCAGAGCTAGGCTTTGGGAAGAAATTTTGATTTATGAATTTCGCCACAAATTGATTTTGATTCAAAATTGATAGGCTTACAGATTTGTATGGGGGATAAGGGAAAGTGCATTATAAGAATTTTTTATTTAAAAATGAATTTTAAGTAAAAAAATAAATTATTGGAGAAATTTAAATTCTATAGATTGTTATGAAAGATCAATATTTTGATGTGACTAAAATGAGAAATTTTGTCCAATTGCCAATTATTATTGGGGTAAGATGTTCAATATCTAACTCCACAAGCAAAATTACTTTAGTTTTCTGTATTTAAATTTTTTAAGTAATTTAGAAAAGTAGTATATTAGAAAATTCGATTTGTGAATTTCTCTGCAAATTGATTTTGGTTCAAAGTTGAAAGGCTTAGAGATTTCTATGAGAGATTATTTTGAGGGAAAAGTGTATTTTAAGATTATTTTGATTTAAAAATGAATTTTAAGTTAAAATTTTATGTGATTTGAGAAATTTAAATTTTGTAGTTTATTTAATGAAGATCAAAATTTTGATGTGATTAAAACGAGAAAGATTTTGCAATTTCAAATTCTTACTGGGGTAAGATATTCCATATCTAATTCAATAAGCAAAATTACTTTACTCTTTTGCATTTAAATTTTATAAGTAATTTAGACATATGCAAGTAATGTACTAGAATTTTCTTCATATTGTAAAATGCATGTTTATGTTATAGCATTCATGATGAAATGATTATATATTGATTTTAAAATTTGTTAGTACATATTTGAAAGATTATAAGTGTACTTAACATATTTTTAAAATGATGTATTTTAAAAGTAGGATATCTTGTGTTTATAATTTGTATATTGATACAGATGTCAAGTAACTTGTTAATAATAAATAATATATGTATTTGACTGTTTAATGATGAAAACCAAATGATTTTAAGAAATGTCATATTATGTGGGATTAGTTGGTAACGTTATGTTTATGATAAACTATATAGGTGGGAAAACAGACTTTTGAGGTAAGCACCTAGGAGAAAAAAATAAAATTATCAGCCTCTTGATATCGATTTATGGAGTAATTTGATAGCTTTTATATTGCGTTGTACCTGATCTCTATTAAACTGTATGATGATGGTTTTTGGTCTAAATAATAACTAATAATATGTGTTCACAACCTTGTGATGGCCATGTACTTAAACATTCATACATAACATATTATACACCTAAGATAGGATAGTCTGTGTTATGAAATAAATGTAATAAGCAAATAAATATTATGATGTAATCATTTTTTTTGTATCAGCAAATGTACTCTTGATTAGTATAGTGCATATTATAACTGGACTGTTAGCATCTCTTTTAAAATTTCCCCCAATAAGATTAACTTTATGTTATGCTATGTTACTATTCAAGCAATTTTACTTTATAATTATTATAGATAATGCGCATAACTATTCTATGATTATAGTTTAATCCTTATGTTCACTTCATGATTACTTTATAATTATTATTGATAATGCACATAACTATTCTATGATTTTAGGTTAATCCTTATGTCCACTTCATGATTAGCATATCATTTTATTTTACTTGCTTGAAAATTATTTTGGCTATTTTATTTGTAGAGGAAATGACAAAGTTGAGCCTCTGTGAGGATTAGAATTTAAATTGACTGTTATATGTTTTGATGTAAGATATGAAACATATTAAGGTAATATTAATGATGAAAGTTTGATGTTATGAAGGTAAATTTTGTTGTTTATTTTACGATCTGTAATGGAATAAATGAAAATTTTTTAGATGCTTTCGATCAATTAAATTGGGTTTACTTATTAGATCTCCATGAGTTAGGAATCATGTAGTATAATATATTTCCATCATTTAAGTGATCAAGTTTATCACTCAGTCTATTATAGTGGATAGAGTTACATAATGGGTGTTGTTGATGATATATTAAATTACCTGAGTTATACCGACCTCTTTCACATCTTATGTTTGACCATGAGGGGTCATTGTGGGGATTGATGGTGATCATATTTTGTTTATCATTTTCAATCATTATTGATTGCTTATAACTATAGTTCAAACCATCATAAGTTGGATCAAATATTTAAATTCACCCTTTGTGTGGTATAATTAACCTAGTTTTGTGCTCTTTATAAAGGAACTTGATCATGCAAGACAAAGGGGGGCTAAAATCTATGCAGAAATTCGAGGATATGGAATGTCAGGTCTACTTTCTCCACACTTGAAATGTTTATTTTTCAATTTTGTTTCCAATCTAATTATACCAAAGGTGGAATTTGGTTTTCCTTTTCTTAGGTGACGCTTATCACATTACTCAACCACATAATGATGGAAGGGGAGCTATTCTTGCTATGCAACGTGCGCTAGAACAGGTATAATATGTTGTCAGATGTCAGCTCAGCCAATTGATTGTTATCTTGTCTGATGTTTGAAGCATGTGATAGTCGTCACTCTTAGGTTTTGTTTGAGACAGCTTTTATGCTGCTTCTTAAAGCAGCTTTCTAGTACAAATATTTTAATTTTTATACTGAAACGTTACTTTAAAAAACAACAAAAAAGCCATCCCAAACGAAGTCTTAGATGATTACCCAGACTTCACTATTTCTTATTTGTAGTCAGGTCTTCTTTCCAGTGATATAGACTACATAAACGCTCATGCTACATCAACTACTCTTGGTATTGTTCCCTTGCTCTTTAATAGTTATGTCATTTGGTCGAGCTTATATGATAAAGCATTGAAGTTGATTGATTTCCGGAAATGCCACAGGTGATGCTATAGAAGCCAAATCAATTGAATATGTTTTCGCTAACCATGCAACCTCAGGTGCTTTAGCACTTTCCTCCACGAAGGTCAAATACATCACAAATTGATAGTCTTGACGTGTGATTATGGTCATTTGGAACTTCACCTTATTTACTTAGTTTTACATGTTTTGTAGGGTGCTACTGGCCATCTTCTTGGGGCAGCTGGTTCAGTTGAAGCAATCTTTGCTGTTCTCGCTATCCATCACGTATACGTTTTTTATGATTATTTTAATGAGTTTGAGATTTCCCTATATTATTCTATCATTGCGAATAATAGGTTCTTTATGCTTTTATTGAATTTGTGCAATAAACAACCTTACATGATCCTCATTACTCTAAATCATGTTTTTTGAAACATCCTGAACTCCAGCTTTGAACATTGGAGCATTTAAAAAACAAAAATTTTAAGCGTATAAAGAAAGTTTTACTGAAAGAATGTACTCATACATGTAGCTTCTGCAAATATGTGGTTGTTGTATGCAACAAATTTTATTTCTCTGACTCAAATCTGTGAGCTCTTGGTCACACTTGAAGGCAACTAATCAAAGCCCCAAGCTGCTCTCTCTATGAAACCTTTAACTTAAAAATGTCAACTTGGATGTTCTTCACTGTAATCATGATACTTGCATACATCATGCATTGTTCGTAGAAGAATAATTAATTCTTTTGAACTTACTAGACTTGGATGAATGGAAGAAACTGTCAAATATTTAGTGTTATAGATAGCCATTATAGATTCATATGTGTTGCGATGCTTAAACCACTTACATGAATGGTGCAGCATTCATTTTGGCAAGAAGGGATGGTTTTGCTTTTCAGAAATTTGCTGATCATTTAGGTTTCGTTTGTGAGGACTTTCTTACTGCTTCTTAAAGCAGCTTTCTAGTACAAAAATTTTCATTTTTTACTAGAAAACTGTTTTAGGAAGTAGTAAGAAAGCTGTCCAAATGAATCCTTAATCTTATCTTTTAGCCAGTTGCAATTTCAGAGAGCATGTTACATTATATTAGAATTAACTACTTAATTGTTTGTGCTGATTTCAGGGAATTGCACCTTTGACAATTAATCTTGAAAAGCCTGATCCATGCTTTCACGGTTCATTCACCCCTCTAACTGCCTCAAAAGAAATGCCAATCAGAGCTGCGCTCTCAAACTCATTCGGCTTTGGTGGGACAAATGCATCCTTGCTCTTCACAAGTCCACCTTAACTTGATTCTGTTTATGTAAACTACATAATGCAGCATTCGGAGCACACGCAGGGTAAGAAGCTGCACAATTGTTGTGATATTCATGCCTTAGGAAATGTGCATTTTTCATTTTATTTTTTTTTTTTTGGGTTGAACTATTGTGATTGATGATTGGTTTAGAGTTTTCTCTCTAATTATGAGTCTTGTGTTCTTGTAGTACATATAACTGATTTTTTTTGTTACGATTGGTGATCAAATTCTCCCAAATAAAAGTTTTTACATCTATTTTCGGTCTACATGGAGACCTTTTCCAGTAGAATAACTATTCTTGTTATCAAAAGCATTTTTTTTCGTGTATGACTATAATAATCTTCAAAATAGAACCTCGTTGAATATGTTAGGGGGAAAAATGGAATTTGTAGTATCCTATATGTAATAAAAAATTGTCTTGATGGGATACAATTGAGTTGAAAATTTTCAAAATTAAATTTTGGATCATTCATATTTGTTTTTAGCAAATTTATAGTCACATTGAACGTCTTGGCAATTAACACTACTGTTGTCAGGTCACAAGTACTGGATGAGAAAAGTGGAGGGTTGCGTTGAGTCGATAACCAGCGTAAAACTTGTCGAATAATAATGATATGAATCTTTTAAGAAATTGTGTTAATGCTAGGGCGTCCCTTAGAAGCGACGCATTGTATTGTCTGAATACAGTGACAAATTTGTAAGTGTCGTTGCTCTGGTGCTCGGGTGCAATATTAAATAGGCAAGGGTTTCCACATCAAAGATGGATGTGGGCAAAGAAGTTAGTTCATGAAATTAAAATTAGGATAGGAACTTGGAATATAAGTTCCTTTATAGGAAAATTAATGTAATTAATAGATATTATGATTATAGGAAGATAAATATTTTGTGCATTTAGGAAACTAAATGGGTTGGAGAGAAGGCTAAGGAAATTGATAGTTTAGGATTTAAACTTTAGTATTCGGGTAGGAGTCGTACTAGAAATGGTGTAGGTATTATTATAGATAAGAGTTTGAATGATAATGTTATAAAAATTAATATGATTGTCTTTTTTTTTGTGGAATTTTGAAAACGGGTTTTGAAAAATATTAGTTTTCTTTGGAAATTTTGAAATTGAGGTTGAATTCTAATTCTAAAGTCGAATTACCCCGTTAGAAAAAGTATATCACCCCGAAGGATAAAAATAAAATTTCATAATGGTGTTCAGACTTAGAATTATGAAACTCATCTTGAATATTGTGATCGGATTCTAAAGAGAACTTCATATGGCCCCAAGGGAACAAAGTGAAGTTTAATTAAATATCCGGCTACGACATTCAAGAAGTATGACCATCGAGTTCACATCCAAAGCCTTATCAAAGAAGGATGTATCTCTCCAAAGGGAGACAACACCATTCAATGATAATCCTTTGAATGTAATAATGACGATCATCTTTTAATTTTTCCCAAGGAAGTCTAATAAAATTTTTTAGAAAATCAATTTTAAAATCAAGTGCGTGTGTGGTTCCAGATCTCCTACGAGCGCAAGCCCTCGTAGTTAATTATATCGTAGGGAGACAGAGTTCTCTACGAAAACTCTAGATTAAAATAGTGACGGAATTTTGTTAGATCTTGTAGGAGTGATATAAAATGTGACATCCCAGGCGTCTACAGTGAAAGGATTCGTCGACAGTCTTGATCAACCATCACTTCCTACTCCCTTACTCAGACCTGAAATTGTTAACCACATATAATATGCTTTAAAAAGTCCAGTAGGTCACTAAAGCCTACAACTGAAATCAAAGCACGGTACGAAAGCAATATGCATGTAAATCAATCAAATCAATATCAGCTACTTGCACATGATCAATGAGTCAATGCAGATACAGAAATCAGTACAGAAATAGAAATCAATACAGAAACGGTAGTCATTACAAAAAACATGTGAATCCATAATCATCAATAGAAGAATCAGTGAACAGTATAAAAGTTCGTAAAGCTCAATGAACCAGTATGTGCGTCAAATCTCTATAGTAGTCGTCGTATCTATAACATCAGTTAATTCATCAAAGAAATCTTCGTATCGGTAATACCAATCAAATCAATCAATAAAATCATATTCTATGTCACATCTATATGTATCTTATTCGGTATATAATACGTATCAGTGTATCACATGTATTAGTCAGTAATCGGTGTATCACGTGCCATAATATCAGTGCAATGAATCAGTAGTATCGGTGAATCAGTAGTATCAGTATCGGTATCGATTCGTATTCGGTCGGTGTTTCAATGAATCAATAGTATCAATGTCCGTAGTATCAATGAAATCGTAGAGTAACAGTAAACCCATAAATCCGTCAGTAAATCCATTCAATATCAATAAAATCAATAAATATGTCGGTATAAATAAATGCGTACGTTAATCAATAAATCAATCAGTCACAATAGATCAATTCAATATCAGTAAATTCATAAGGTAATCATAAGAACAATACTTTAAACATGCAATATAATACAATAGTCTTACTCGGCGAGTACAATCAATGGCTATTAAGGCGTTTTTCAAGGTTAGTATGTTAGTAATCCGTTAGCTCAGTAGAGTCGTCACTCTTTGCCCGTCGACATAATCTCCTTAAGACTCTCAATCGTTATATCAATGATTAATAGAGGATAACACCAAACCCTTTTTAAAAGAAAGCCCGTTGGCCGACCATCCTGTACAAGTAAATCAATCTCCAACCAATGGTTCAACCAGTCTTTATTCAACAAGTAAAATACATGGCTATTACGGTGTTTTTCAATCTTGGAATATCGTTGTATCCATTGGTTCAATAGAGTTGTCACTCTCGTTCGTCGGCCGCGCGTCGGCATACTCCTTATGACTCCCAATCGTTATATTGATGATCAATAGAGGATAATACCAAGCCCTTTTTAAAGGAAAGCCCGTCGGCCCACCATCATGTCAGGTTTATCAATTTCCAACCAACGGTTCAACCAGTCTTTACTTGCCTTTCAGTAAGATAACAATAATTTCATAATATACATCTCATTAATGCATTGCAATGAATAAACACAATTTAACTCAAATGAAGAGAATCCTCAAAATATCGTACAGTCGACAGAAATTCCAAACATAGTCAAAATACACAATTTCAGAAAATCACCAAATTACCAGAAATCGAATAAAACAACGTTACAAAGCTTGTACTGAAGCAATATTTTCCAACAGCCAGATAATTTCTTATTCGATAAAAATCGCACATAACTTAAAATATTTGGTGAAAACTTTTCAGAAAATACTCAAATCATACAAAAACATCAGTTCAATCACATACCAAAAGTTACGCAGTAAAAGTTTTGTCAATACAAAGATATGCACGTTTTTCGGTAACGAAAACACAAAACTGAGCAGAGAAATACCAAAACTCGAAATCTTTTAAATCAGAAATAGGATTTGGAGTTCTTACTGTGAGATAAACAATTCTTCTAACGGCGGCGTCGGACGAAAATCGCACCGCTGCCTTCAAAACTAAGCTTTTTTCCTCTCTTTTTCCTTCTCTTTCTCTCTCCTGCTTTTTCTCTCTCTTCAAAATATCTCAAAAATATCTCAAATCGGATATTAATCAAGCAGGATTGTCCTGGACGAATCCTATTCGTCCCGGGATGATTTGCCCTCTGGACAAATCTCGTCCAGACGAAGTGTATTCGTTCCTGGACGATTTGCTCTCTGGAAAAATTTTGTCCTGACGGTTCGTCTAGGCTCGTACAGGTTCATACAGACGAACCATACAGATTCTTCACAATTTCTTCAGTTCATCTCGTACTAAAGTCAGTTCGTACGGACTAACTATACTAAAAAAAATACACTTCGAAGGGGTTTTACAATCTACCCACCTTAAGGAAAATGTCGTATCCGACATTTCCATTAAGGTCTCAAAACACAATCGATACAAAACAAATCCATCCAATCAAAACTCAAATCAAATCGAATCAAAATTAAAACACGTCGAAAATCATACAGTCATACAGTTCATTCGATCACATGTCATTCACTATGTATGCAAAATGATGCACTTGATACTACCCATTCTACCAAACTATCAATCAAGTCCTTTCACTACACTTGCTCTGATACCAATTTGTGACATCCCAAGCGTCTATAGTGAAAGGATTCGTCGACAGTCTTGATCAACCGTCACTTCCTGGTCCCTTGCTCAGACCTGAAATTGATAACCACATATAATGAGCTTCAAAAAGCCCAGCATGTCACCAAAGCTTACAATTGAAATCAAAGCACGGTACGAAAGTAATATGCATGTAAATCAATCAAATTAATATCAGCCACTTGCATATGATCAATGAGTCGATGCAGATACGGAAATCAGTACAAAAATATAAATCAATACAGAAATGGTAGTCATTATAAAAAATATGTGAATCCATAATCATCAATAGAAGAATCAGTGAATAGTATAAAAGTTTGTAAAGCTCAATGAACCAGTACGTGTGTCAAATCTCTACAGTATTCATCGTATCTATAACATCAGTCAATTCATCAAAGAAATCTTCGTATCGGTAATACCAATCAAATCAATCAATAAAATCATATTCTATATCACATGCACATGTATCTTATTCGGTGTATCATACATATCAGTGTATCACATGTATTAGTCAGTAATTGGTGTATCACGTGCCATAATATCAGTGCAATGAATCAGTGGTATTGGTGAATCAGTAGTATCGGTATCGGCATCGATTCGTATTCGGTCGGTGCATCAATGATTCAATAGTATCAGTGTCCGTAGTATCAATGAAATAATGCAGTAACAGTAAACCCGTAAATCCGTCAGTAAATCCACTCAATATTAATAAAATCAATAAATCCATCGGTATAAATAAATGCGCACTGTAATCAATAAATCAATCGGTAACAATAGATCAATTCAATTTCAGTAAATCCATAAGGTAATCATAAGAACAATACTTTAAACATGCAATACAATACAATAGTCTTACTCGACAAGTACAATCACTAGCTATTAAGGCATTTTTCAAGGTTAGTATGTTAGTAATCCGTTGGCTCAGTAGAGTCGTCACTCTTTGCCTGTCGGCTACCCGTCGGCATAATCTCCATATAACCCCCAATCGTTATATCAATGATCAATAGAGGATAACACCAAATCCATTTTAAAGGAAAGCCCTTCGGCCCACCATCCTGTACAAGTAAATCAATCTCCAACCAACGGTTCAACCAGTCTTTACTCAACAAGTAA